GGTATGTTGATAGAATCAAGTCTTTTGTGACTGATTTCGTTTGGGAATTCTTTTGATCCGAATCTCACGCGAACACCTACACATGGCTGCAGTCGAATGGAAGTTGCGAATTTCAGGGTTTCTATGCTGTAATGGTGAACTACTCAGGTTAATTGATGTTGCGAATCGTGATGCTGTGCAGAGAAACTATTCCGAATGTAACACCCACATTGTTGCTCAAACGTTACAGGTTTGTTGGTGCATGTTCGGCGATCACATTTTGCGCTCTCACAATTGCAATTTGTAAACGAAAGTACACATGCTAATATGGTTAATGTTTTGCATGCAAATGTTCACGTTTATGAAAATTTTGCGTGATAATTAGATGTTTTGGAATCAAAAATTCGCAATAGTGCGCATATATCAGAATAAAGTTTCGATTGAAGTTCCGAGCATTAAAATTGATGAACGTTCGGTTTTGTCAGGAAAACGCTGAAAGGAGGTTCAACACAACTTTTGAGATTATTGTCTCGACAGGCGATTTCGCATCAAAGACGCACTTCAGGGACGATCTTCTTTGTAAGGTTAGTGTCAGAGATGAAGTGTTCCACTTGTTTCTGATGTGTCGTTTCCAGGACATCACATTTTTTGATGAAACCTTTTGAGATGAGAAGCCTTAGAGTAGGGTTTTCGGCTCGATGATAGTGACATGAAAGTGGAGTTTTCAGTGGACGTGGTTTGGAACTTCTTTTAAGTTCCAAACATAGTTTTTTTTTAAAACAAATATTCAGTCATGTTTGGAACAAAAATTTTTGGTTCATTAAATTTACTGTTAACCTATTCGGTCGAACTCGTTATATCTTCAGGATTTTATCTACAGTAAATATGTGCTCATTTACGCCACACCAATACCGTATCCGCTCAGTGAACAGGTCATCGATACTCTTGGCAACGTGGTGAACGTGTAAAGCAACAAACTGACAGTCGAATCAGTTTGAATCGCGCCACTAACAATAAATGCCAAGAATCACTGAAATTTCCATAGACCGGGTTCATTATTTGCATTATTAATGGAAATTTGACTCTGCATCTTCGGGTGTAGGTGGAGGTGGGGCGGCATTAGCACAGTGAACGTGATGAATATTTTAGAAATCATGTAATTAACTCCTCTATGTTATCATTGTTATCATTCCGAATATTCAACCTCGCCTATCACTCATATGACAACTGTTCCATTTTGTCTCAGTAAATCCAACTGATTCAGATCAATTAACGTTCACATACATAATTCTGCCAAACGAAACTCGCATTTCTTCTGAGCCTTATATGCTGTTCAAAGTTTGTTTAGTAATTAGTTAACAGTGAAAAACAGAAAGTCTTTGGCCAAAATGATCTGACGGACGCTTCGAGGAGCCTTTTTATAGAGGAAGAGAAT